GGTTGCATGCTGTGCAACCACCTGGTCTTGCTAACCAGCCATCCCCTGGTCATCCTAGGCAGCTACCACTGCTACCCGGGGCTTCCTCTGATTGCCTCTGCCCTGTCTCCTCTGTCCAGATCCACTAGTCTATTGTGGCACAAGCTGACGTACCATGACTGTAGCATGTGGAGGGACGGGTGGCTTCACAGCCTGCCCCCTTCCGCAATTACCTCCTTGTTGCACATTTTTATTCTGAGCCTGGTAGTACACAACATTAGGAGTTGGTTATGTTCCTTGTCCACTTGGCTGTCCTGGCTATCTGCCTTGGCCTCATCCATGGCCCTTCTTTCCACTACTGCCCTCCGCACGTCCACTTGATCCTGGGCGCCTCGACATTTGGGCAGCCAATGCAGCATCCCTGGCCAGCTGGAAAGCCTGGCTCAACCTCTTAAGCTTTCCCTGTGAGACAAGTACCGCCTGGTCGTGGGGAAGGCCCCAGATAAGCATCTTCAGTAACCATGCTTCATCATAGGTGTCCACCTTATCCAACTCAGCCTCAAACCTACAAATGGAATCATGGGTGGACTCCTCTTTCCTCTGCTTGAGGTTCATCAATGCAGCCATTGCAGAATCAGCCTTGTTGGTGTTTTGGAAGCGGCTGATCAGCTGCTCTCCAAAGGTCTGCATATCCTTGGGGTCCTCCCATGCCTTCACCTTTCCCTGCCACCAGGTCTGTGCAGTTCCTTGGAGCAGAGTAGAAGCGTATGCAACTTGCTTCCCAGGTGATCCTCCCACCAGATGAAAAAAATTCAATACCTGACCCAACCACACCTCCGGGTTGTCAGATGTCCTGCCCGAAAATGTTGGAGGGTCCTTTGGCTTTATTTGGACATCAAAAATCCCAGTCCCCTTGCGAGTGTGCATCTCCAATAACTCGCTTGATGATGTCGTGTCCGTGTGGGAACTGGAAGAACGTGCATGCCTTGACCGGTGTGATCTATACTTCTGTCGTCCTGGACGGGCAGCATGGCTGGATTGTGTAGGGGGCATCGTCTGATCGCCAGCATCGGCAACAATTTCCAGCTCTTGCTGCAAATGTGGTGGTCGGTTGTATGTAGTTGTTGCTGGTGGTTCTGGGGGGTCTAGGCACAGTCTGCTGATGGGGGTGAGAATCCTTTTGCAACTGATCTATAGCCAGATCCGCGGACAACTGATCGATTCTGGATAGAGCATCATGGAGCTGCCTAGTAAGCCGCTCGACAGTCGCATCCTGTTCCCTCCTCAACCTCCTTTTTGTGTCGGCATTTCTCTGCCTCTCATGCCCCAATGCATTCTCTAGCTCAGCAATTCTATCAGCATTGCTGGTAACGTTTCTCTGCATTGATGACATAGCGGTCTCAGCTCACCCAAACGCCTCCCTGATCTGACCCTCCAAATGCAAAACTGCCCTATGAGATGTCTGGGCAGTATGCTGCACTGCTGATGCTGTCTGATCAGCTAGTACATTCATGGCATGTGTTGTCTGGGCGGCAGTCCTTGCTATCACCTGTGCAGCTCGCTGCTCCAGATTCTGCATCTCCTGTGCAGCTTTAGTCCTGGAGACTAGAGCTTCCTCTGGGTTTCCCAAAACCACTGCCCCCGGCTCTATCCTGGCAATCAAAGTCCTCTATTGCCGCGCCTCATATGACGCAGCAATAACTTCCACACGTCCAGCTCCAGTGATTGTCTCTACTGTCACGTCAATTTCTTCCACACCATTATGGTCCTGCAACTCCATCATATCATGTCCTGCCATGATCCCACTCACCACATTGATCCAATGATAAACTGTATTGAAACGAAGTCAATCGGCGTAGACCTGATCTCGGGCTACTGAAAGTCCACTGAATCCTATCCCCAAGTAGCCAAGCAGCCTTTACCTCCCAACTTAAGTTATCCTGCTTCTACTAGTTTTCAGTAATCACTTTCACACATAATTACCCCCAGTACTCTGCAGGGTGGCCTCTCGGTCCACCTGGTAACTTTCCAGAGGGTGCGTCTGTCGCTACTAATGAAAACTTAGTCTTAGCATCAGCCGAACAACCTAAGAAAGTGTCCCTTGCCTGGGACGAGACTGCTGTAAGAGGTCTGGGTTGGCCTATGGCACCCCCAGCCTGTCTAATATTTTAAGACTCAGCCACCCAAGGTTCAGAGGGGGTGGCTGGCCTGTCTACCTCAGGTGGGCAATGGCCTCACCCTCTGACCGGTTCTAGAGGAGATGCTACCACTAGGCAGTAGCACTCTAGACCCAACTGGGCCTGCCTATTGCCGTGCTCAATCTCCTCCCCCTTCCCCTAGCCAGGCCCCCAATCTTGTGGCAGAGCGGTCTGGTGGTTACCCGCCTGCAGTACCTGCAAAATAAGGTGAAGCAGCAGATGTCCCCTACTTCTAGAGCGGGACCTTCACCCCTATTCTACAGCAGGTGGCACCTGAGGTTGATTGAGTCTTCCAACTGAGGGGTGCTGGCCTTCGCGTGTTCAGCTACACAATGGGCGCCTAGCGCATGCACTGAATCCGCTGCTGAATCCACTGCTGAATCCACTGGCGAATCTGCAGATCTGGCGATCGCCCGGCACCGTCGATCCCCGAACACCAATCGTCCACCGAGAAGCTCCTCAAGCTCACTGAACAAACTCCTGCAGGCACATAGCATGGCGATTTAGCACCCGTGGAGGTGCTGACCGTTGCCTGGGGTAATGGAGGCTATTGGAATCCTGCAGCTCCTCAGGCTGCGTGGTCACTCTGGGTTGCTGCGCCTCTCGCTCAGCTTCCGGCTCCGGGCTTCGCACTCTGAAACCAATTTGTTGTGGCCCGTCGGCAGCCGCTGGCTTCCGGAGGCTCTGGGGTCGCCCTGCCCTGCAGCACAGCCGTTTGAGGTCGGCTGGCCTCTCCACCTCGGATGGTGGGCGTTTCCGGGGCAGTCGAATTGGCGGTCGCGCGGTGGGCCCAATGCTCGACGGGGATCGATCCCCGGGGCTTGCCGTCGGCGAGAGGTGACGGCGCAGCGCGGTGGTCGTTCGCTAGCTCGCAGGAGGCCAGAGAGTGGGCCAAAGGATGTTACACGGATTCACTGCATGCGCGCGCACATATTGCATGCGCGATGCCCGATCGTGGGTCCATTGCAGTCACATCAAGACAAGACATGGCAAGTGCACGTCCAGGCACATTGTCACCGTCTACCGTTCACTTATGATCGACCCAATGTCCTCTAATTCCAAGCATCTCACACCCGACCCCCTAGCCCTAAGTACTATAATTTCAGGAGGCCATATCTTCGTCATTTGTTAACGGAATCGGGCGTTTAAAAGCTAGTTGGAACCAAGAAGCTCTAAATAACACCCACAAAAGTCTATTTTCCCAATTATATAATTCCTACTCCAGAAAATGTCAATAACTGCCTAACCCCAAGTAACCACGTCGCACACGGCACGGCCCATCGCCTGGCCTCATGCCGGGCTTTGGTAATCCACTGCGTGTGCCGTTTGCATCATTGCCACTCCGATTGCCTGTCTCCCCCGGAGACCCATTCGGCCATGACCCACAGTCATTTCCGCTGTGAGCCGTTCCATTCGGACCCTGTGCATACCGCGATTTCTCCGCGCTGCGGCTGCACCCCACTTGACCCAAAAGATTCATCAAAGCTGCCTCCCCTGACCCACTGTGCCGAATGCTCAAGGCGCATTGACCGGGAGGAGCATTCATTGCGTCTCCATTGCAATGTGTGCATCGACACCGAGAAGGCGCCCCGCACTTCCACCCACCACACTTCCTTCACGGCTTTATCTGTTGTGCCCCGAAGGGCACTTCCCGCTCGTTCGGTCGGAGGCACGGAGACGGGTTCCCGCGGCAAACGCGTTACACACAGGAGACACGGTACAACGATACAACCGGTATAAAATATTCTCCATTGATTGTCCAGTTAGCTATAATGCTATACCATCTAGTGGTGGGCCCAAAACTCCATAGTAACGAACTACAGTCGACCCTAAACAATCCCAAAAGTCCCCCCTAAGGTTGCTTCCCAACAGCAACATGTTGTAACTATAATTACTCTAGAATTGACCAATTGTCCAATAGTCACAACATTATCCCACGTTGCCGGCGACCGCAAGAAAACAAAAATCTATGGCATTATTAGATCCGCTGCCGATCTTGCGATCCGGAATGCATGTCTTTACAACAGTTGGGTGTGAACCTTGGCAAGCCATTCTCAGCGATACCAACCTAGGTCGATCTGCATATAAGTGGTGTGACAACGAGGGTAGAAATGTATTTGAGGAATGGGATCGAATTCCACTTTCTTACCTTTTGCAAAACGCCACAAAACCAAGCTTTCTTCAATGTGGCTATGGCACACACCAGCTGATGGCGGACATGGTTCGGTTCCCTATTCTGCCCAAGAAATGCTGCGTCGAAAAAAGGCTACATCCATGGCAAAGTACTGTGGGAATAGTCTTGTCCACCAAACCGTATTCCAGCAAAAATGTGAGTCGCCATTCGGAGCTTTCCTGAACCAAGAACCGTCGGATCAGAGTTTTGCTGGATGCGCAGCTGAGATCCTGCAGGATCACCAAACACTAGACCAAAAAGGGCCAAATAGCACGTGTTCAAACGTGTACAAAGTTTACGGGTTTGGGTTATTTTGGTGTTTTTAGCATGCAGAACACTGATCAGTGTTTTCTGTTTTCATCATGGTGAAATGCACACAAATGTGTTCGAAAAAGTGCTATTTGGCCTTTTTCTGCTAGTGAAAGTTCCACAAATTGTCGACTGCCTCCAACGGGGTCCTTCCCGCGTGGCAATGCACGTCCTCAATGTTTTTGCCGGGACACCGCTCAGGAAGACCAGCACGGAAGGTGGCGGCCAGATTTGTCAGCCTGGGGCAAGGTGTAAGCTCGAGGTCACATCAGGGACCGAGCTGCCCGGTGGTTGGGTGCCCCATTCCTCACCTCCACTGCGCGGCCCCCTCCCCCCTGGGTATGGGCGACGCCGGCCCCAGCGAGGGCTCCCTGCTAGGCGAGCCGAGGGAATGCGACGGGCGGCGCCGGGGGCCGGGCGATGGGATGACCGCTCAGCGCGTGCTGAACAAGTACCGAAGCGTGAGGAAGTCGCTGGGTGCGTGTGGCCGCGCGGGGCTGGGCAACCATCCAGAAGTCGGGTTCCGGCCCTGCGGCTGGAAAGGGCGTGAATCTGATGGGGATGGGGATGTCGCGCCTGCGTTGCGGGGACCGTCTTGGATTGTGCGGTGCAATCTGAAGATTTTGGATGTTGGATGTTGTTTTGTCGCAGTGGCGAGGCGGGCGGACCTCTTGGCGCCGACGGACAAGCTGCACGACGTGTTTGTGGCGGTCGACACACTCCAGGCGGAAGGTGGGTGATGGGTGGGGTGGGGTAGGAAGGGAGAAGGGGGCGGGGGGGCGCGTCGTCAGGTGAGAAGGACCTCGAAAGACGTGAATGGTGCCGCAGCCCCCTGGTTGGCTTTGGAGGCGGCGCCTGCTCCATGCCCTGTTCTGGCGACTGCGCTGCCAGTACCGGGTCGAGCGAAACTTTGCTGGAGCCTTAAGGCGGTGGATTGTGTATTGACGAGTTTGGCCCTGTCCGGCGGTGGCGGGCTGGATGTCAGATGTTTGCCGCCACGGTTGCGACTGGGTGGGCCTGGAACATCAGAGCGGGACCTTTGTGATGGTTTTCTGCACGTGGGTGCCTGTCCGGTGCGCCGCTGTGGGCGTTTGTCAGTGCCGCCCGGGAAGAGGGCGCCTTTGCCGGTAACTGTGCCCTGGTTCCCAATGAATTCTCTGCGTCCTGCTGTGCTGCGGGTGCACATTTGCGGGCGAAAAAACGTTGGCGATGCTCCCATTGCACTGCTTGCCTCATAAAGTCTGGATCACTTGCTGTCTTGCAGCTTGCCGGGCACTGAACGGCGGATTCGATGGCCGCCACATGTCCATCGACTCCCAAGTGTTTAATGCCCTCACGGAGATTGGCGAAGAGAAATCTGCAAAATTGACCAACAAGGTGAGCAGCTGGTCTTTCCTGTTTTGCGATGCATTCCTACATATGCTATTGCATTTGGTCGGCACCTGTTATGTGCATGGGCGGTGAATGATAGTGTTTTGACGATATGGTCGTCAGATTTCCTGGTGTAAAAGAAACGGCGTGGATAGGCTCTGATCGGGTTTCTGCCTAGCATTGCATGCAAGTTGGCACGGCTGTGTTGTTTGTGTGTGCAACTGCAATCCATGGAATTCGTCCTGATCAACTTGGAAGAGCAGAATGTGGAGTTGTTGTCCTCATGATGCTCTCTTCTTTGAAAGACAATGACTCTAATTGGGCCACAACAGTTCCCCAAAGTCGATCAACGGGACGAAAATGCTGCTGTTGGAAAGGATGATTGCTGTGGGTGGACATGTGTACGTTGCATTGGGTATCTTCCTTGTGGCAGCATTGGGACTCTGTAAAAGGGATTGATTGGCGGGTGAATCGTTGTATTGTAGTTATCACCCAATATTGGCAGTCTGTCAAAAGGTTTTGCTTTGCTTTGTTTTGAAGAATGCAATGAAGCACAGCTCGATTTGGGTGCAGTTTTGAGACACAAGACATTGGGCTAGCCATCCACGGCAAGCGCCTTGATGATGCTTCCAACAAATTGGTTTGTTCTATGTCTTGTGTACAGATCTGCAATATTCTGCTTATTTTTTGGCTAGAGTTTGTTTCAGATGGCAGGATTGCCCTGCTGCTGTTATGCAATATAGGGCTATCCAGTGCAGCGAAAACTGTCCATAAGCAAACATTTTTCCCTAGCCCTGCGGTGCTCAACTGAGTACGATCTGTTTTGCTGCAGAGCGGCAGTGCTGCCCCAGAAGATTTGATACGTCTGCTGCGACAAAATTATATGACAAGTGAGAGTTCTCCTTTCCAATGGTCCCACTTTGGCTACGATCATGGAAAAGCGTGGCACATTGCCTCGATTGGCCTGAGAGCCCCACAGGCCTTCATCCTTGACGACCCAAGGTTGGCCCCCCTGAGTCGTGCTCAATGCCATCTGTGGGACTGAATGCCTTCCTCTCATACTCAAAGACATCAGCATCTTGTTCGATACTGTGTAGAAGTGTGTTGCCAGTGGCTCAGGAGGGGGTCGATTAGTACATGACAGTTGCTCCTTTTGTGAACAAAGATCCTTTAATCGCAGGTTGGCCACCACCAGAGCAGAAGGCGCCGGGCGGAAACCAAGGCGCTTAGAGACAAAGGAGTTGAAGAAGCCCAAAGAAACTGCCGAGGACGAGGAAAGTGAGGATGCCTTCTTGCTGTCACAGATGAAGTACATGCACAAGAGACTGGCCAGAGCTGGGAGCATGCACTTCAGGGAACTTGTGCTGGACGTAGACTCCTATGCAAAAACAGTGGAGAACATCTTTGTCTTTAGCAACCTGGTGAGCACAGACATTCTGCCATTGCACCCACCTGCAGTGACCCCTGCATTGAGGCAGAATTTCATCAACTGAGCTAAATAATCGATTCTAGACCTGCTGCTGGTGCTGCGGTGGGGCAACCAATTTGGGTGAAATAGAGTGAAATCAACAACAGCACATCCTGCTCATTTAACCATTCTTTAATAGGACAAGAAACACATCACCATCCCCTTTAGAGTGGTCGCTTTGTGGTGTGCCTCCATGCCATCATTGGTGGGTAATCTAGTGTTTGGCAGTTTTGAGGCCGGCACTTAGCACCATTGTGAGTTAATTTATGTCTGTTCTAGGACAACAGTATGCATGTGTGAAGCGCTGTGCAGGGGGTCATCCTGTATGGGTATCCAATGTTGGACACACTGGTTGTCAGCCAAATGTTAATCATCCATGGCCGAACATGGTGCTGTAGGACATTACCCAAAGAGAAGGGTAAACCACGTCTTGATGGACGTTGGCAGCCTCAGTTTTAAAACACTGGCATTGTGGCCATCAGCTTGCCACAAACCCCTCACTGGAAGCATGGTACAGCATCATCACTGAAGGAACCAATGAATATATTGTTTTGTTGTCTGATTTGATTGGTACTGCAGTGCCAGAAATTGCGTTGATGTTGATGCAGATGATGACGATGTTGATGCATTGTACTGTTGATTCTTTCAATGTGGTTTGCATCAAAGATTAATCGTATCCATTCCGATGTGTATTGTTATCTTTTCCTGTTGATTTCAGTCCCGTTTTTTACATCGTCAGGGTCTTAAGCCTGCCATGTGCACCCTCACTGTCAGCTCAACACCAAGGGCTTGGAAATGGACGCCAAGGGTGCCGCGGACGCCTCGTTGGGCATGAACATCAGGCCTCTCTTTAAAAAGGATCCTTCGTATGAGGCGACCTCGAAGACGATATTCTCGCTCTCCCCGCGCGAGTGGCAGGAGATGAGGGAAGTAAGCCTGCTCTCCACCGCAGGGCAGGCACCAGTCGCATCGACGTCGACGATCGGCGGGCCTGGTGTGTGCAGTTCTCTTCGCACGCAGACGCCGCGGAAACAGCCCGCCTCCGTTGCTACCATCCCGGAGCAAGAAACTGTTGCGTCGGACTACGGGATCGGCCCGGTCGCCTCGGGCAGTCCCACTTGCCTGCAGACGCCCGCGCAGCGAGATGCCTCGCCGCCCCCTCGGCGCTCGCGGTCGCCCAAGGAGGGCTCCGGGAGTATGAACGGACGGCCAGCGGGGTTGAGCGGCTGCGAAGACTGCCGTGTGCCTGGGAAGCGGGGTGACAAAGGGTGTGACGCAGCGTCCAGGTCGGAAGCGGGCAGGCGACGGGAGGCACCGGCGGCCGGAACTTCTGAGGTGAGTGACCTCCCGGCTTTTTGCCACTCGCCGCTTTAAATTGCTTGGGGCCAAAATACGCTCCTGCACGATTCCTTCTTTCCTTCACTACGTGCGATGGCTTCCTTTAGACATCAGGGAAAGGGATTTTTTTGACGTATGAATAGAATGTGTATATGTTGGAAAAGACCAATGCAGTGAAATTGTGGGTGGCTGCTTGGTGGCTTGCTTTGACCCTTTTTGCCGGTGGGCTTTCACTGTGCTTGCCTTGCTTGCAGAGCACTTCGAGGTCCATCACGAAGTACTTCCCCAGGATATCTGAAGAGGATGCAGGTAGACAACTGGAGCGGATGTCCCAGAGAACAAATGCCAGTGGGTTTTGCAATGGGACATCCACAGACCAGAGATGCAAACGCCATAAGAAGGATCACAGTAGCAGGAGGTTGCGGAAGAGTGAACAGCAAAATCTGGACGTGGTCGACCTGGTTGACGGCATCATTGACATGCCAAATGACGCGATCGATCTGTCAAACGGTACTGCTAATCCGTCAGATGATGTTGTCGACCTGTCGGCTGAATAGCTAAGAGGCGAACATTCTGGAAAGGTGGGAAATGACACCTGGTGAGGTGCACAGTGGTGCAGGCAACATCGTGCAAAAACGAACAAACCAAGTTCTGCTGCAAGATTGTGTGTGTGGTTTTGCAGCAGCACCTGGTGTCCCCGTTTCCAAACACAACGAATCCCACCAGTATTGCGGAAGCACTGGGCGATTGCATTGTGCTGAAGCCACTGATTTAGTGCACACCCGCATGAGCTGCACTGTCCAGCCTACCATTTGTTGGCTAGCCCTGACTTCATCAACAAGTGCATGCTGCTACACAGAAAAAATCAGTGTTGTTGCTGTCTTGTGGCCAACAGGCCTTGATCTCGAACAGGCATTTCCATTGAAACACGTGTCCTTTGGTGGTAACAATATGTGATGAAGGATAATATAGCTTTCCCCACTTGCACGTCCATTCAATCGGCTCTCAATATGGCTGCTGGTTGGATACAAATTAGTGCAGAGAACTCTTAATGCTGTTTGTATTGCGCCAACAGAAGACCCCAGTTGCTGTATGTTAACAGTTAATGTGCGTTGGATGGATGTCCCTGCCACAAGAATTAGCTGGACTGGCTGCCAGCTGCAGAGCAACTACAAGTACTGCATGGGTCCTGTCAGTGTGTCATTTCATGTTGCTGTAATGGACACATCCGTTCATGTGATTTGAATACATAGACAACTGAGTCAAGCAAGCAATCAGTGAGTCAATCAGTCCGTCAATGAATATTGTTACACGTCTAGGTAAGAATGTAGCCATCACCTCCCTGTTCGCCCAGGAAAGGGTCTCGATTTCTTAGCAACGAATGGCACTCACTGCCCTACATGTGCCAGCAATGGCTGTGGCCAGAGAGAGCGAGGGTACATCAGCATTCGAGGTGTTTATTGAAGGAAAAACGGAGGACAGGCTCAAACGAACTGGAACCACCCTGCCCAGCAAATGGGATTCCAGACCAGTAGTTTACCGCATCCACTCATTTGTTTTGCTTCGATGTGCTGACCCGGTGGGGTGCCATGCTGCAGGTACTTTCTTGCCGGATGACGACAACCGACATTCCTGCACGGAACACGCTTGCTCAAACTCATTTCTCTACTATTGAAATTGTTGAAATTTAGTTGCAAAAATTGGTATGTCTGTGACTGCCTTGTTCGGCCACTTCCGAGCGTGATGCCGACCTTTTCGATGCCCAGGATTGGGCAATGGGAAGCGCGCGGCGGCTAAATGATAACATGCCACAATTTGCATGTCAGAACGATATGGCCGGGGGAATGCCATGTTGATTGCATGGCAAGCGCCGCTTGCCAAGTGGCGCGCGTGCCTTGTCATTCTCGTTTCAAAATCCATGAAAACCCCTCTTTCGGGCCGATGGTTGTCGTCATTAGCAGTGGCAGGTGCAATAGCAGGGGATCCTGCAGAGGTTCCCTGGGCTGGAGTGCAGTGCCCATTGCATTACGGCAGAGACGCCCTCCAAAAACATGATGGCTTCACGGATGTCCAAAAGTCACGAAAGTGTGCGGGCCC